AAAAAAAAAAAAGTTCATATTGCAACATTTCATTTATATGAAGTTCACAGACAAAACTAATCTATGGTGATAAACATTCATCTTTGGAGAATACATTTTTATGGGAGAGATCATGAGGGAACTTTCTGGGGTGCTATAAATTTCTGTTTTCATGTTATCTGGGTAGTGGATATATGTGTTTATACATCTGTAAAAGTTTATGGAGCTGTTCAATTAAGATTTATGTATTTTACTGTATGTAAATTATATCTAAAAAAAGACAAAGAAAAATAATTTCCCCTGAGAAGTCAAAATTGGCATATGAGACGGATTGGACAGGAAGTTGTTGTAAGTCCTTTGGTTCTATTTTAGTTTTTATTTTTATACATGCTGTTGTATTAGATAAAACATAAATAATTTCTCAAAAACAGAAAGTAAATATGTATTACATAATTTGGTTTGTAAAAAATCTAATTCTTAAACAAATTTCTCAGATTTAAACTAGGAAGGGGTAAGCAGAAAGCTCAGGAAGATAAGAGTAGGAGTGACAAGAGGATTTCTTGAGATTTCAGGAGTTAGTGCATACTTCAGGAGACCTCTTATTTGACCTTGTAAACTACTTTATTCAAATATACGCTCTCAAACACCTTAACTTGCAAGAAATATAGATCCTACCTATGCTGTAGCTTCGTTAGGCCAAGTTCATGCTTCTCTCTTTCCCAGGCTAATTCCTTTTCCACTTGGTGAATTTTATAAACTGTTTTTTTGTTAATCTCAGCACGAATTTGGGAATCTATGTCAAAATCCTGTAGATAAATAGATTTGTTCAACAACATGGGTACTTTTATCAATGTACTTTGTCAATCTTATATTTTACATACAGATTTTTAAGTTTTGCCCTCAATTTCATGCAGCATCATAGCTCTTTCCCAAATATCATAAACCCTTTCCATTCTAGAAAAAAAATAACATACTTTTGATCTTACTTCCACAAAAGATGGAAAAAAGTTCTCAGAAATAATTTAAAATAATGTAAATAAAGTTACATATTTAAAGTTTTTCTCACAGTAAAAATAACGAATGCTAACAGAATATTTAAAGAGTGTACAAAGTTTTTTTTAAAAATATCCCCTTCATCCCAAAGCAGCTAACTATTGTATTACACAAACAGCTGGGCACAGGGTAGAAGTTCATGGCAGCTGATCATTAGCCGAGCATCCTCTCCCATGTGACCCGACCCAGGAAAAACAGCAAAGTCACTGGCATCTTCTTAACATCACGAAGTTCTGGTTGAATGTCCTTCACCAAGGGGGCTATTTTTCCCATAAGGATACTTGAGGCCTCATGTTATTTAACTTCACTCCTGCACAAGTCAGGGCCTTCATTCACACTAAATTGGAAGTAGTAATTATTCTTTCCAGAGGTGCTTGTGTTTTCAGTAATGATGTGTGTAAAGTGCTTAGCCATAGAACTTGCCTCAGTTGTTCTTTATTTTGACTTATGTCACTCATATTCTGCAAATGTCTTAGTAAAATAGCTTTAACACCTTTTAACCAATATGAGTTAACCATTTTGATTTCACCAAAGCATTTTTATATGAAATTGGCTAAGTGCCTCTAGAATTACAGGACTGGGAAAACCATGGATATAGTCAAGATAGTAAATTCTGCGTTTTTATTTGATTAGGCTCTTGACAGTAATTCCATTTAGGAGGAAGTACAAAATGAAAAAAAAATTAATCACTACCTGGTAGATGGGGCTTTGCAATAAGTCACAAAAGAAAAAAATAATAATACAAAATTAGCTTAAATAATTAAGTGATTATCCCCATACCTACAAATTACTAAGTCATCTTCCAGAAACTTAGAGGGTAAACCAGGTACTACTGTTTCAACAGATCTGATGAATTATAGAAATAGAACCACTGAGCATCAATTTATATATACATATGCACATCCCTATCCAGCAGTTAGGTATCTTAGCTAAGTATGATAAGGGTTGATAACCAGGTTCAAACCTATATTTATTTATTATCTTGTTTATGAAAAAAAAGTATAATAACTAAATCCAGAAGTAAAGAGGTTTACGTGCCCTCAAACCAAGTTGTGTGACAAGTTCTACAGTAGTTTAGTTGCTGCCAACATATTGACTTGCCAGATAAAAGGAAGCTTAAAGATGATTTTAAGTGTTCCTACTTATCGGCCAAATAGTACTAGAACCATAAATGGCATATATTAAAAATTAAAATCAAATTTATTTTGGACTTACTGTCCGTTTAAACTGCATATGCTTGGGTAATTTTTCATTCATCTCTAGTAGTTTCCGAAATTGACTCCTCAAAGCTCTGAGCTGTTCTCTCTTCCTGGCCTTTATTTCTTCCACCTCTTTCATTAACTTGTCATGTTCTCTTTTTCTTCTGGCATTCTCAATACTGAAAACAGAAATTTAAAAGGATAACAAATTAGAATACAGAAACAGCAAAGAGAAAACTAGTATTCAAATATTTGAACATTCATTTAGCTTGGTCAACTTCTGTAAAATGTTGGTTTGTTTTTGCAAAAACTTATGCCTAGTAGGTATTTATCAAAAATTCCCATACCTGTAGGCTTTGGGATCGTCAATATCTTCTGGAATTGGCTCTGTTTCAATTCCAAACTGTAGGAAGGGGAGTAAAAGTTTAGCCCTTTTAAATAGCATATTTCCCTTAAAATATCTAATCAGAAGTAAATTGAGGAGTTTCCCCCTTGACAATTTCTAACAATTATAGGCCTGGAAAGTATTTTCACAAATAATAATAAACTGGGGAAACACTGCAGTTGATTAAACTTACTTGTTTCTGCTTCTTTTATAGGGGTAGGTACAGAAAGTCATGAAACTTAATTATATGTATGCAAAATGTTAATAACACCATATTTCCCTTCAAAATGTGAATTACCAATATTCTTGTGTTATTAACAAAGAATACAAACAAAAACTTTATAGGTCATTTATTTTAAAATACTGGGGGTTTTTTTTGCATATCCCTTTTATACATGAGTAAGTCTCCCCAAATACTCCATGTGTGTGTATGTGTATATATATACATACATGTACATTATATATACATATATACATATATATGTGTATGTATATTATATATATTTAAAATTTTTAGTAAACATTTTACCTGACCTTAGCAAAAAAAGACATACAGTGGGAAATGCACAGAATAACATGATCCCCTTCTTTAAGATATGAAATCAGAAATATGAATCTCCCTTTAGGAAGAAAAAAATTTAAATTAAGGGGTACTATGAAGTAAATCATTTAGAAGTACTTTGTTTATTTAGGAGCTATGCTGTAAAACCTCTTAGGCTATCAGGAAAGAGGAACTATAACCTGGTGAACTAAATATAGAGTCTTAGTTTGCTAGCTAATCAGTTCCTAAGTAAAATTGAACTTGTTTATTCTCTATTCTTTTTTATAATGGATAGGTCTCTGTTTTGATCAAGTTGTTTTATTATAGTTTCTCTTTTGATCAAAATGTTTTATTACTACTCTTTATACATATGAAATGTAAGTCTACATACAGAGGGTGCCAAAAAAATGTATACATATTTTAAGTGATGTTAACACTTTGGTCAATGTTACTCAAGCAGTAGTTTGCTATAATCAGAAGTGTCTGGATGCTGATGGTAACCACTCTTAGCACCTCTTGTAACTGCAGAAGTCAAACATGACTATATTCATCTTTTGTTATCAATATATATTACCATTTTAATACATATTTCCTTTCTTAAAATGTGTATACATTTTTTTGGCACCCTCTGTATTTTTATGTAAGACAGGTGTATGACGTTAGTAAAAGTGAAGTCATATATCATGACCCATGGAAGAGACAGTGATGGCTAATGCAGTGTAGTTACCATTAATCACTTAGGACATAACTTAAATTTTATTTATTTATTATTCTTTTTTTGCCCAGAGCTAAGCCCCTTAGTTCTCCAAATCAGTGTGAGTTCTAGGATCTCCTGGCCTCAGCTGTTTACAATAAGCTTGAGTTAAACAAAGGTGCTTCCAACGCTTCTAAAATATATGCCAATTGTTCTCAATCCTAGCTGCACATTAGAATCAAGGGGGTTGGGAGACGCAGAGGGTATTTTATAAAATACTGATGCCTGAGTCTCACCTTCAGAGATTCTAATTTAATTGTTCTTGGGCAGGGCTCAGGCAACTGTACTTTTAAGGACTTCCTAGCTGATTCTAAGGTTCTTACCTCAGACTTTTGCAGAGCTTAGTTTTTGTGTGTTTATTCAACTCTTTCTGATTTTGCTTTCTTAAAAGCAGAGTCTGCTTCAGTGACTTGAGAAATATCGATTGTAGTCATAAATAGAAGGACACTATTATACAAATGTGGATGGTTTTTTTTTTCTATCCAATATGGGTTTCCATAGAGAAAGTTGGCACTAGATAGAAAGTTAAAGATTTTCTTCTTCAAAAACTTTCCATTCTGTAATTCCGCTTCCTGAGCTGGACCTCTTTAAACGACAGTCCATTCTCCAAATTTTTCTGCTATTAATAGAAATGAAAATTTATCTGCTCACATCTTCCCTACATTGTTTTGAAGTTGGTTACCTATTAAGCAGGAAGCCAATGTGTTCATAGGAATTTTAACTATGATCTTTCTAATACAATTCCTTATTCTTTAGGAGTAACTCTAATAGTTGTTAATAATTTTATCTAAAGGAATCACTTTGATAATAGAAAATTCAGGGCCTGACAGGTCAAAAGGATATAATTTGGGGGTCTGAACCTTCAGTCTTCATTACAAAACCAATAATGTACTCTGCCTAAGACTAGAATAATTTAACTGAATCTTGAATCACGATCCACATTATCATTTTCTAACACTACAGACAACAATATTTTTACAACCCTTTTGAAAGGACGGATTATAGTGTATATCTCATTTTATGCCCCTTCAATGAGTGAATAAATGAAAAAGCAAAATATAGATCTAAAAAAGATGTACATTTTGAAAACAAATTTTGATCAAGAAAGTGACTGATACAGAAAAATCGACAGTCTTTTTAATTTGGGGAATTCTATATCTTTAACAATAATGGGAATTCAATGTATTTAATATATGAAAAAGAGGCATCAGAAAGTAAAAATTATAATACTGGCAGGAAGATTAGACTATCAGGAAAATGTGTCTGAATAGTTTCCATTTAAAAAAATATGAACAATTTTAACATCAGTATTTTTAAATAAAGGTGTTTTTTTTAAATTATTGCTGTTAGGTAGGTAGTGTGTTAGTTAGTTACATACCCTGGGAGATGGAACTTTGGCTTTGACAAGTTTCCTTAACTCAAATTCGGAAAAAATGCTAAAAACAAAGATATTACTATCTGCTCCAGCAGTCACCAAAAAACGGTCATCAAAGCTAGTAGAAATGCCTTTAATACATCCATAATTGTTGTCATGAATATTGAAGTGCCAGTAGTTCTCCATATCTGTCAATGAAAGATCATTCTGATTCAGGATATAAACTCGAATTGCTCCATCTTGCATTCCACAAAACATTATATCTTGGTTAAAACTATGAAACAAAAAGAAAGTGAATTGTTCTTCATATTAATCTGAAAATAATGTTAATTTTAAATTAACTGACAAATGACACTTTTAACAACAAAGATATTATGGACTAAATTGTGCCCCCCTCAAAATTCACATGTTGAAGCCCTAACAAACTATGGAAGCCCTAGCAAACAAATACAAAAAGAGGGGAGTGATGGGGAGAGCCAATTTGAAAATTGGACCTATTATATTTGGTCTCCAAAAGAAAGACTGCAAGGGCCGGCCGAGTGGCGCGATGGTTAAGAACTCTCTTGGGATGCCAGAGGGCCCCGGTTCGGATCCCACATATGAGGGCCAGTGACACTGCCCTCTACAGCTAAGATGCTGAACAACAGCTCAACCTGGAGCTGGGCTGCCATGAGTCGCCGGCGACGGCGTAGGCTGCAGCCCCTGTGGCAGTGGGTTGTCATGGGCTACCGTATGTAGCCAGCAGCCAGCGTGAGCGGCCAGCAGCTGCAGTGAGCGGCCGTCCAGAAGCCGTCGACTGATCTGCCTCACCAGAGAAGAGCACAATGATGGTGCCAACTTGGGCCAGTGAAGCAACATCCTCCACAACTAGATTGAAGAACAAAACGACAGCAGCTTGTCTGTTCCCCTTCCCCCAATTCCCCAGCACTGTTCCTATCCCCCTAATTCCCCAATAAAAATCTTTAAAAAAAAAAAAAAAGAAAGACTGCAATATATGCTTAATTCACAATTATTAAAGGACTAATAACTCAATTTGTCGTTTCTCCAGAATCACTGTAACCGTGAACCTTCATTGTCAGACTGTGCAGTAGCATCCTCCTCAGTAACAGAGAGCAAATGCATACAATTCAATTGTGTGATAAACAGAAGTTTTGACAGAATATTTGATAGAGGGGATTGAAATACAGTTTCAGGAATAGCTTTGATTCTATTTATTCCTTTGATTTATTTAACATTGTTTGAGTACCCTTCCATTTGGACACATCTTTAAAAATCGACAATATTCGTAATGGACAAAACAGACACTAATGGGTTATAGTTTTTTAAAGCTTTCTGAAATTCTGTTCACCTGAAAGTGATACTTTGAATGGGATTGTCTTCTGTATCCTCAAGAAAGCGGAAATCAAAAGGTTCATCTTTCTTTTCCGTGATATCACTGTTTTTGTCATATGGGGGGAACTCACAGTGATATAGAAAACCAGAATCATAGCCACCCTAGAAAAGAGATAAATAACATATAAGGTGGTACTTGAATATAGGACACATATGATCACATGGAAAGTTTTTGATTATTTCAAATTTTAAAAGACAAAATAGATCTCCTAAAACATCTACTTTATATGATTTCTATGATTATAGATAGATTTTATAAAGCATCTCCATTGTCCATTTGTATGTGGCTATAAAATTATAATAATAAGACACCTTACAATGATTTGTTTCCACTTAAAAGTCAAAAGAAGAGACATATTACCTCTGACTACCTACTGAATTCCATTTTATTTCAAGTATTATTCTGAATAAGCAGTGTTTAATGATAAGAGTTGTACAGGTCATGGTTTTCCAAACTAGTTTTCAGTCTAGGGCATCGCTTTTCTCCCTGAAGCAATTGCCAGTTCTGAAAGTGGCAGCTGAGAAGCTAAAAGTTGAGCAGAGCTATCTGTAGTCTCAGAGGCTCAGGAGGACAAAAAGGTTTCCAGAGTTCTCCAAGGAGAAGAAGCCACTGCAAACACACCTTCCCCTGGGATTTCCATTGTAACCCTGGAGCACTATACCCTACGTGTGTGAATAAACTAGAAATAGGCTGGCCCTCACAGGAAGCAAAGTCTAAATTTCAAGTCATCTCATTCACTGATGAAAGTGATCTAGAATTTCTAGCTTCTTTCCAGAACCAAAAATAAATCTCCCGTAGCTAATGCCAATACACAGAAACTGAAGCTAGTGCTATAGTTTTTTTTGTATACAAGGTCTAATATTCAATGTATTACAGAATTGTACACTTGAAACCTATATAATTTTTTAACCAATGTCACCACAATAAATAATAATAGTTTAAAAATAGGCATACAAGCAAAGACAAGAATTGATTGAAAATCAAAAGGAAATAAACAGATCAAAGAAAATACAGGTCAAAGAAAAAACACAAGAGGTACTGATAGAGGTATTTTCAAAATAGACTTCAGGGCCGGCCGAGTGACTCAATTGGTTAATATTTGGTTTAAGAGCATAAGCTCTGAGCAACAGGGCCGCCAGTTCGATTCCCACATGGGCTAGCGACACTGTGCCCGAGCTGAGCTGGCACTGAGCTGCCAACAGGTGGCAGGATGGCTCAGCTGGTGTAACAACAAGATTGCCTGTTCAATGATGGACTACACCCACCCCCACCAGCAACTAAAACTGAACTCGACACCTTGAGTTGAACTGCCACCCAGATGGCTCAGTGGATAGGGCATGCGCACTTAACAACAAGGCTGCTGGCTCAACTCCTGCATGGGATGGTGGCTACGCCCACCAGCAACTAAGATTGTAACACTGCACCTTGAGCTTAGAGGCCATGAGCTGCCAACGGGAAGCCAGATGGTGACTGGCGCCCTCCACAACAAAGACTGAAAAACAACAACTTGGCTGGTCCCTCTCCCCAATTCTCCAACACTGTTCCCCTCTCCCAATCCCCAATAAAATCTTTACAAAAAAGACTTCAAAATAACTATAATTAACATATTTAAAGAATTTGAAGGCAATACAGAAAATTTTAGAATTCAATTGGAATGTATAAAAAAGTAAATAATGGAAAAAATGAAAATTCTAGAACTGAAAACTGATGGAAATTAAAAATTCAACAGATCAATTTAAAAGCAACTGGACACAGCTGAAAATAGAGTTATGAAACTACAACAAAGGTCAGAAAAAATCGAGTATAGCAGAAGAGAGAAAAGAAGGATGGAAAAAAATATATATATGGTACACATGAAACATAGTTATAAGGATTAATATACATAAAATTGGAATCCCAGAAGATAGTAGAAAGATGGGCCAGAAGCAATATTGTGGTAGATAATGGCTGAGTATTTTCTAAAACTGAATAAAAATATGTCAGAATTCAAGTAATACTATGAACCACAAGCAAGATAAATATGAAGAAATTACACACCTTTTAACACAGAATCTTAAAAATAACCAGAGAAAAAAGATACATTGGGTTTCAAAGAAACAATAAAAAGATGCAGCTGGCAGAATGGAAGGCAAAAGATATCAAAGTTCTGAAAAGAAAATATCTAGAAAATTACAATTTTTAAATAGATACTTTAAAACAAAAACAAAACAAAAATCCACCCAAACAGAGAATTTGTCATCAGCATACCTACACTTAAGAAAATATCAAAGCCTATCTTTTAGGCAGAAGATACAATTACAAAAATAAAGAAAGGAACTAACAGCAAGAAAAAGGATAAACCAAATGATACCAAGAACATAAAACAATACTAAATGCCTTTTGGGGACACAAATACATATACGAGTATAAAAATAAAACATGACAATGAGGAGAGGAGGATACACGGCATTAAAATGCTCTAAGATCTTTTTTCTCTGGGATTAGTAAAAGAATAAATTTATAGCACATTATATTAAAGATGCATATTATAATCTTTAGGATCACTTATAAAAGAAAGTATAACTAATAACCTAATAGAGGAGGAAAATCGGGGGATAAGCTACCTTAATCATCCAACAGAAGGTGAAAAAGGGAGCATAGAATTGGTGTGATAAATAGAAATAATTAGTAAGATGGTAGATGTAATCTAAAATATATTAGTAATTACATTAAACAGAATTGGACATAATACTCCATTAAAATAAAGACAAAGATTCTATAGGATTAAAAAACAGAAGTATAACCGTATGCTGCGTATAAAAGACATACTTTGAATATAAGGGTATCAAAGGCAAAGGAGAGAGAATCATTAACGACTCTGAATTTTGTCTTAGCAACTGAATGGATGCTCATCTCATTTACTGAGATGGAGAGCAGATTTTCATGGGGCAAGTGTGGCTTAAAAGTTTTATTTTGGCTATATTAATTTTGAGGTGCCAAACAGAGATGTCAAGCTGGATAGGTATACAAGTTTGAATAGGACAGGAGATGTCACAACTAGAGGCAAAAATTTGAGATTCACTGGCATATAATTGATATTTAAAGCCATGGGACTACATGAAGTCACCTAGCAAGAAAGTAGGGGACTGAGACCATATCCTAGCGTACTTCAAATTTCAATCTTGTTCAGGAAATGAGAAGCCAGGAAAAGAGGCAAAAAAAAGTGGCCAGTATAGTGTCTTGGAAGCCAGGGGGAAAAAAGTGTTTTAGAAGGATGAAGGGTCAGCCCTATCAAATATTTCCGAAAGGTTAAATGGACAGACAAGTAACCAATGAGCTTGGCAGTATGGAAATCTTTGATGAAGTGAAGTGGCAGAGTTAGGAACCCAACTAGAATAGGTGGAAGATCAAACTGAAGATGAAGAAATGAAGCCAATGATTACAGGCAACTATTTCAAGTTTTCCTATAAAGGAGCAATGGAGGGGAAGGAGAGAGAGGTTAAGGAAAAAAATTAAGATAAGTACTAGAACATGTGTATGTGCTGATGAGAAGAACTGAATAAACAGAGAGAAGTTGATGATACATAAGACCAAGTGGTTTATTTCAGGAACAAAATCTTCGAGAAACCAAGAGGGGATAGGATCAAGAGGCCATTCAGAACAGTGTCCTTGGAAAGTTTCAGGGGACCATTCATGATTTGTTAACAATAGGCAAAGCAGTTAAAACTTGTATGTATCCCTGTAGGGCATCAGATCTAATTGAGACAAGATAAGGAAATCCCATCTGGTTGCTTTTATTTAATTTTCTAAGTGAAATGTGAGATGAGGTTATCAATGGAAAGTGAGGGAAGGTGCAAAATGTTTGAGGGGAAAAGAAAGAATTAATGCAATAGTTTGGAAAGTGGGCTAATGACCATGGCTTGGTCACAGCCTGCAGTGTGAGTAATGATTTGAGAACTGTGGTCATGACTTCCAAGGAGACTGGTTTTCTACAGTGTCTGCTTATGTGTAGGCACAGAGTCGGCAAATAGTTGGATCAAGTAGTATTAGTGTCACTGCCTCTGTGAACTACTCGTATACCTTACTTAACCTTACGTGTGGGTATAGTTTAAGGTTAAGGCCATAGGTTCTAGACCCAGACTGCCTGAGTCCAGATCCTTGTTCTACCTCTCATATGACCTTGGATAAATACCTTAACTTCTCCATGCCTTGGTTTCTTCTTATGTAAAATGCAAATAAGAGCAATTATTTTATAGGGTGGCTGGGTAGATCACTTAAAATGGTGCCTGGTACAGAATAAGTAGGTTTCCATATTTAGCAAATGAAAATACAGGATGGATGTTAACTAAACTTATTGTGTAAATCATTTCACCATATAAGTAAGTCAAATCATTATGCTGTACACTTCAAGCTTATACAGTGCTGAATGTCAATTATTTTTCAACAAAATGGGGGAAAAAATTTTTTTAAATACAGGATGCCCAGTTAAATTTGAATTTCAGATAAACAACAAATACAGTTTTAGTATAAGTATGTCCCATGTAATATTTATCTGGCAACCCTTAGAGTAAGCACTAAATATGTTTGTTAAATAATTTTTGCATATATGTTTCAAGGACACTAGAATTCTATTACATTATATTACAGTTGTTTCTATGCCTCCCTCCCACATGATTATGAGGAAACTTCCTGAGGGCGGGAGCCATGTCTTATCTATCCCTTTACCCCTTGAACCTCACACAAGAGTAGCCATCAATAATTGTTTCATAAAACATAGAAGACAAACAAAGGGTAAAGGCACTAATAAATGAAGTTCTAAGGTGGCTTCATCACTACTTTCTACCCTTCTTCGCCCCTTAGAAGTTACTATCAAAGATATACTTCTAGAAAAAGTTGAAGAGGGGAGAGGTTAACTCTCATCACTCCTTAGAGCAACAGACCTTACTGGCCAGTGTCCTGATCTGGCCACTGATCTGGACCAGTTATGATTTAGTTGTAATCTTTTACATATACTTTTATGTCTATTATCACATTTTTGATGAGTGGAATTGAAATTTTTGACAAATTTATAATGAAGGAAATCTTGCTTTGTAATAGAACAATAAAATGTTTTATAAGAATAGAATGTATAGGGCTGGCCGAGTGGCACATTGAGAGTTGGCTTAGGATGCCAGCTCTAAGCATCAGGGCCCCGGTTCGGATCCCACATGAGGGACAGTAATGCTGCGCCCTCTACAGCTAAGATGGTGAACAACAGCTCGACCTGGAGCTGGGCTGCCGTGAGTCACCAGTGATGGTGTAGGCTGCAGCCCCTGCTGCAGTGGGCTCCTGTAAGCTACCGTGAGTGGCTGGCAGCCAGCATGAGTGGCCAGCAGTCAGCATAAGCTGCTGTGAGTTGCAGTGAGTGGCTGTCCAATGGCCGGCGAGCAGCTGCCTCACCCGGGAAGAGTGCAATGATAATACCAATATGGGCCAATGAAGCAACGTCCTCCACAACTAGACTGAAGAACAAAAGGACAGCAACTTGTCTGTTCCCCTTCCCCGAATCCCCAATGCTGTTCCCCTCCCCCAGTTCCCCAATAAAATCTTTAAAAAAAAAAAAGAATAGAATGTATAATAAGAGGATGTAATTTTCACATCATTGTGACAGTCCCTGATGCTGGTTTCCCCAATATCCATTTTTTTATTCTTCCTTATTAAGCAAGTCCTCATCTTGTTCAGGGTGGCAATGTAACCATCTAAAAACAGCCATTTCCAAAGGGCCAGCTGGGTGGCTCAGTTGGTTTAGAGCTCACTCAAGAGTGCAAGCTCTGAGCAATAGTAGTTCGATTCCCAGCCTGAGCTGAGTTGCCGCTGAGCTGCCAACAGGTGACAGGATGGCTCAGCTAAATAAATAAACAAACAAACAAACAAACAAACAAACAAATAAATAAAAAACAGCCATTTCCCAGACTTCCATATGGCCAAACAGCATAGTTGTAGATAAAATGTAAGCAAAAGTCTATTGGATAACACTGCCATTATTTTCAAAATACTAATTATTTTCAATATTTAAAAACAACAGACTCAGCTGGAAAACCCCTTAGTCCTTTGCCCTTCTGCCTTCAATTCTTCCCGCCTTTGACCTCCTGAAACATGAATGACTGTCATAGATGATGACAAGTATAAGTAGAAGACATATAAGGGAGCTATTAAGATGATATAAAAACAACTGTAACTCACATTTATTCATCAAAATTCACACCTTTAATAGTAGTCGATAAATGAAGTCTTACCATAAGAGTGAGAAAGTTAAGAATGTGCTGGAAAATATTAGCTAGCCACTATATTGAATTAGGGCTGAGATAAAAATTATGTATTACATTATTACTCACCAAAGAAACCCAGAACTTCCCTGGCCCAGAGTAAAACCCACAGAGGATGTGACAGGGGGTTGATGGAATAAAGATTCCAGGTAATGGTTTCTCTTCTTCTTCCTCTTCCTCCTCCTCTTCCCCTTGGAATTCCTTTTCTCCATCTTCTCCCATCATTGCTGCTAGCTGCTTCCTTCTTTCTTCCTTTTCCTTCTTCTTCAACTCCTTTTGTTTCTTTCTCTTTTCAGTTTCTATTAATCTCTTTTGCAAAAGAGACATTAAGAAGATGTAAAAACAACTACAATTCATTCATTCTATGGTATTAGGGATGACAAAGAAAGTAGAGGGAAGACAGGGTCCTAGAAAAACTCACAGCTCTGATGTAACAAGTAACGTCATTTAAAAATAATTATTAATTTGGGGATATAGTTTTGTCATTAAATTTTTCAAATTATTGGAATAACTTTATTTCTGTATTATCCCCACTGATCCTGGTTTTATAAAAATGATTTTGTCATTTTTTTTCCTGATAAAGAAGCTAAATTCCGTTACCCTCTGAGTCTATCACTGTCAGCACATGAATTAAGTGGACTGAAATAGTCCAGGAGGGAAGTTGTTTCTATTTTTAGTAATACTGGGATTCAGGCCCTCAGCATCTATCAAGTGGCTACTGCAAAAGGCCCTTAACCCTGGCATCCCTACCTTCCATCTTTTACCTCTTTATTCTGTTTACCCCTCAGAATTATCTTCCAAATTTATATGATCTCATCACATCAATCCCCTCCTCAAAAACTCACAGTGGATCCCAATGGTCTATGAAATAAATTAAGACATCGTGGCTGGTATTTAAGGAGCCACATGTGTTGGTCACAGGCTTTTGCCACACCCCTCCACAAATTGCATCCCTCCATTTCACAGTCCATTCTCCATTTCCCCAAAACACCAAAACACGTCTGTCTTCCCAGCTTTTATCGTCTCCCTCCTTGTTTTCATTCTTTCAAAATTATTCAATTTTTAAGTACTAAATGTCATCTCAATGCAGTCATCTTTGACCTCCTCTCATCCCTCCATCAGAATCATCTCTTCTTTTCTCAGCATGCCCCGAAAACTATTTTCTTTGCACTGTGATTTTAATATCTATTCACTACTGCCTTCCAGTATGAGATCTGTGTCTTGCTCTTTTTTGTATGTATTCAGGGCTTAACACGGGATATTTTATATTCTAAGAAGGAAAAAAATATCAGAAGATAATGCTTCAAGGATATCTCATACCAGAATCTTAGATTTGACACTTGAGAAATGGAAACATTTTGTGCGCATGTCTTTGATTTCATAGGAAGCTCTGTGGTGATCCTCCTCTTCCTGCTTTATGACTGGACATGCAGCTTCAAGAACATAGCCGTTCTCACAGAGAATCAGTAAAGTGCTTTCAGGCTGAAAAAGAAAGATTCAATATATTTACATTTAAGCAAATTTTTAGAAGCATAGCTCAAGAAGATTACAAACCAGGGAAAATATTATTGCCATATGTACCAACCATTTTTTTAAAGATACTTTGTTCCTCCCTGCAGTTATTAGTAGTAATAAGTCAATCTTATTAATCACTATACATAATTATTGATACCAATTAATTATTATAATAATAAGTGTGAAAGTTAGATTTAGATTTGTTTCCATAGATGCCATCCATGTTTTCTGAGACAAAAACATGGTTGTGAAATAATGTTAGACCAAAGGGAAAAATATTAAAATTAGGGGTGCCAAAGAAAATCTGCAGTGCGTGGATGGCATATACAGTCTTGGCTTCCTTTGATGGCTCATTCTCGATCTGCCTGAGTTCATTATTTATCCCTTTACCCCTTGAATATGTGAACATTCCCAAGGTTTTTGACTCTTCCCTCTGCCCCTTTCTCTCCATAAATATTCCCTGGACACCCTTATAGCAAACTCAAAGCTTCATTACCACTCACATGCAATTAAATTCCAAATTTCTCTCTCTAGCCCCGACTTCTGTCTTGAGCTCCAAAATCATGTATTGAATCATGTAAGGGAAACCCCCATCTTGATATTCCATAGACACTTTATTCAAAATATGTATTCATTTATTTATTTTATTCTGTAGTTATTTATTATACACCTACTATGTACTCAGCATTTTATAAAGTGCTAGGGTTAAAGGTATAATAACAAAAAGAGGTACAGTCTCTGTCATTATAGAGCTTACCTCCAGTGGGAGAGCCCATCATTTAAATCATATAAATAAATGTAAATTGTAACTGCAACGACTGTTGCAGAAGTGCCACAAAAGCAAGGAGGTTGGGCAAAGCTTCCTGAGAAGGCAGCACCTATGCTTTAGGTGAAAGATGAAGGAGCGTGCTCTATAAAGGAAATATCATGTGCAAAACTCCTGAGGCACATTGGGCTTATAAGGAAGTATGGACTTGGACAGTATCACCTAGATCAAGAGACCAGAGTGAGAAGAGAGACTGGGACAGAACCTTAAGGAAACAACACTCAATGGCTGGGTGAGGAAGACTGAGAAGGAATAATTACAAGATGTAGGAGAGGGAGCCAGGAGAGCACAATGTCACAAAAGTCAAAGGGAGATGGTATTTCAAAGACAAAATAAGAATCAACAGGAAGCTAAGAGGTCAAGAAATATAAGAAATAAAAGTGTCCATAAGTTTAGTGCCTATGTTTTCTTCTATGCAGTTTGTTGTTTCAGGTTTTATGTTTAGATCTTTGATCCATTTTGAGTTAATTTTGGTACACGGTGACAGATAGCAGTCTAGTTTCATTCTTTTGCACATGACTTTCCAATTCTCCCAGCACCATTTACTGAAGAGGCTCTCTTTTCTCCATATGTTTTTAGTTTCTTTGTCAAAATTATCTGTCCATATTTATGTGGGATTATTTCTGGCTTTTCAATTCTATTCCATTGGTCTGTGTGCCTGTTTTTTTTTTTTTGCCACCACCGTGCTGTTTTGATTATTGTTGCCCTGTAGTACAAGCTGAAGTCAGGGAGTGTGATACCTCCAGCATTGTTCTTTTTTCTTAGGCGTGCTTGGCTGCTTTGGGTATTTTGTGGTTCCATAGAAATCTGATGATTTTTTGTTCTATTTCTTTAAAAAATGCCATTGGGATTTTGATGGGGATTGCATTAAATCTGTATATTGCTTTGGGTAATATGACCATTTTAACTAGGTTAATTCTTCCAATCCATGAACACGGAATGTCTTTCCATTTCTTTGTGTCTTCAATTTTTTTTTTTTTTTTTAAAGATTTTTATTGGGGAATTGGGGGGATGGGAACAGTGCTAGGGAATTGGGGGGAAGGGGAACAGACAAGTTGCTGTCGTTTTGTTCTTCAGTCTAGTTGTGGAGGACGTTGCTTCACTGGCCCAAGTTGGCACCATCATTGCGCTCTTCCCGGGCAAGGCAGATCAGTCGCCGGCTTCTGGACGGCCGCTCACTGCGGCTGCTGGCCGCTCACGCTGGCTGCTGGCTACAGACGGTAGCCCATGGCAACCCACTGCCACAGGGGCTGCAGCCCACGCCGTCGCCGGCGACCCATGGCAGCCCAGCTCCAGGTTGAGCTGTTGTTCAGCATCTTAGCTGTAGAGAGCAGTGTCACTGGCCCTCATATGTGGGATCCGAACCGGGGCCCTCTGGCATCCCAAGCGAGTTCTTAACCATCGCACCACTCGGCCGGCCCTTCAATTTCTTTTAAAAATGTCTTACATTTTTCAGTGTATAGGTCCTTCACATCCTTGGTTAAGTTTATCCCTAGGTATTTTATTCTTTTTGTTGCAATTGCAAAAGGAATTGTTTTTGTTTTCGTTTTGTTTTGTTTTCTTAGTTTCTGAGATTTCATTGTTAGTATATAGGAATGCAATTGATTTTTGTACCTTGATTTTGTATCCGGCAAATTTACTGTATTCATTTATTGTTTCTAATAGCTTTCTGGTGGAGTCTTTAGGGCTTTCTATATATAGCATCATGTCATCTGCTGAAAGTGACAGTTTCAGTTCTTCATTCCCAATTTGGATGCCTTTTATTTCTTTCTCATGCCTGATTGCTCTGGCTAGGACTGCCAATCTGTGTTGAAAAGCAGTGGTGATAGGGGACAACCCTGTCTTGTTTCTGAATGTAGAGGGAAGGGCGTCAGTTTTTCACTGTTAATTATGATAGCTGAGGGTTTGTCATATACGGCCTTTTTTATGTTAAGGTATTTTTCTTCTATACCCATTTTATTAAGTGTTTTAATCATAAATGGATGGTGTATCTTGTCAAATGCTTTTTATGCATCTCTTGGGTTCAAAGAGGATTTTATAATTTGACCTCAAAGGCAAAGGAAGTAAAAGCTAAAACAAATGAATGGGACTATATCAAACTAAAAAGCTTCTGTACAGCAAAAGAAACCATTGACAAAATAAAGAGTCAACCAACCAAATGGGAGAAGATATTTGCAAACAATGCCTCCAATAAGGAGCTAATATCCAAAATATATAAGAAACTCATACAACTCAACAACAACCAAAAAACCCATACTACAATCCAATTAAAAAATGGGCAGAGGACCTCAATAGACATTCCTCCAAAGAGGACATACAGTTGGCCAATAGACATATGAAAAGATGCTCAACATCACTAATCATCAGAGAAATGCAAATAAAAACCACAATGAGATATCACCTCATACAAGTTAGAATGGCTATAATCAACAAGATAAATAATAAGACGTGCCAGAGAGGCTGTGGAGATAAAGGAACCCTCATACACTGCTGGTGGGAATGAAGATTGGTGCAGCCGCTATGGAAGGCAGTGTGGAGTTTCCTCAAAAAATTAAGACTTGGGCCGGCCAAGTGGCGTGTTGGTTAAGAGCTGGCTTGGGATGCCAGAGGGCTCTGGTTCGGATCCCACATATGAGGGCCAGTGACACTGTCCTCCACAGCTAAGATGCTGAACAACAGCTCAACCTGGAGCTGGGCTGCCATGAGTCACCGGTGCCGGCATAGGCTGCAGCCACTGCTGCAGTGGGTTGCCTTGGGCTACCGTGTGTAGCCAGCAGCCAGCGTGAGCGGACAGCAGCCACTGTGAGTGGCTGTCCAGAAGCTGGCAACTGATCTGCCTCACCCCGTAAGAGTGCAATGATGGTGCCAAATTAGGCCAATGAAGCAACGTCCTCCACAACTAGACTGAAGAAGAAAAGGACAGCAACTTGTCTGTTCCCCTTCCCCAGCACTGTTCCCATCCCCCAATTACCCAATAAAAATCTTTAAAAAAAAAATTAAGACTAGAATTACCATATGACCCAGCAATCTTTCCTGGGTAATATACCCCAAAAGATCTGAAAACATTTATCCATAAAAATATATGTGCTCTGATGTTCATTGCAGCTTTATTTACAGTGGCCATGACATGGAAACAACCAAAGCATCCTTCGATAGATGACTGGATAAAGAAGATGTGGTATATATACACAATGGAATACTACTCTGCCATAACAAAAGATGAAATACTGCCATTTGGGACAAAATGTATGGATCTTGAGATTATTATGCTAAGCAAAATAAGTCAGACAGAAAAAGTCGAGAACCATATGATTTCACTGATATGTGGACTATAAAACTGAAAGCAACAAAGGCATAAGACAAAAAATAAACAAAACTCATAGACACAGACAATAGTTTAGTGGTTACCAGAGGGTAAGGGGGAAGGGGGGTAGTAGATGAGGGTAAAAGGGATCAAATGTATGGTGATGAAAGGAGAATTGACTCTGGTTGGTGAACACACAATGTGATATATAGATGACATATAGAGAATTGTACTCCTGAAACCAAAGTAATTTTACTAACCATTATCACTCCAATAAATTTTAATTTAAAAAAAAAAGAAGAACAACAACAACTCGGGTCCAAATAATAAGGTGTCTTTTTTTTATGAGGCCAGGAATAACCTTGATTTCAAACCTGGCAATGACATTACAAAAGGAGAAAGTCATCACTGTTATAAACTTGGATGCAAAAGTCCTTAATAAAGTATTAGCATACTGTGTGTGTGCGTGTTAAAATGCAGTGAGTTAATATGTGTCAAAATGACAAGAGAAGATCAAGTTCAAAGCATAATGCATGAAAAAATGAGGAACAAAGAGGATAAAAAGGACACAGACTTACGAGAGGTTTAGGATCCACAATCAGTAGGGCTTGGCGAATCACTGAAGGGCAGGGTGGTCAGAAGTAGAGCAGAGACTATTGGGTTGGCAGAAAAGTCATGAGATATTTTTTCTATGTTTTTCATCGCAAAAATGACTTTTCCAACAAGCGAGTGGAAAGACTGAAGAGTTTCTAGTTTTAGTAACAGGAAGAACAGTGGTCCCAGAATAATGAAGGACAAAAAACATCTTAGAGGGACTCTCCAGTTAGACACCTCAAAATGACCTTCAGAAACTCAAAAGATCGCCCAGTTCTGTCAGTTCTACCTTCTACATATCTAATGTCCACACAATCTTTCACACCCTGGTCATGTCTTCTCTGGAACACAGCTGCCTGAAAAATCTACCTGCCCCTCCTCTGGCGCCCTTGTAACTTCTCCACACTGCTACCGAAGTGATCATGATAGTGACTGCGGCAGGAAGAATGTGTGCTGGTGATGCACCCTTATTGGGAACACCAAAAATAATGGGCAGAAGTTTAATGCATTCAGGAAGATAGGAGGCCTTACCACTGAGCTGGTAGGAGCTAACAGCTATTGCTACTTGGACAGTTGAAGTATGCAGCAAATCAGCTTACATATGGTAATTTACTTTTTTTCCCCAAGTTTATTGAGATAATTGACATATAATATTGTATAAGTTTAAGGTATACAATGTGATGATTTGATACATGTATATATTATGAAAGGAGAATAACTGGCTTTGATATTAGTAATTCCCAAATACTAGAAATACAAGTGCTAATCAGCAGCACTGCCTGAAACAACTTTTGAATTACGTTGGAGGTTTTTGGTCTCTTATGCCTACTTTTTATTTTTTAACTTATTTTGAAACAACTGTTGAGTCACAGGAAGTTGCAAAAATAGTACAGAGAGGTATCATGTACCTTTTACTGAGTTTCTCCCATTGGTTACCTCTTATGCAACAATATCAAAACCAGGAAATTGATATTAATATAGAATGTGTATATAGTTCTATGTCATTTTATCACATATGTGTATATTCGTATAGCCATCCACAGCAATCAAACTGCAAAACCATTCTACCACCAGAAAGATCTCTCTTGAGCTACCCCTTTATAGTAACTCCCACCCCCTTTCAATCCACCATTCCTAACCCCTGGCAAATGTCAGTTTCTTTTAACTTTGTATCTAGGGAAGCGATTGAAAGTTGCACATAATATATGCTGTGACAAATGCTCACACTTTAACAAAGAGCTTCTTTTGTAGCTTCATTTCTTTCAGCTAAACCGCTTGTACCCACCCCTTCTCCACCTACCTACATCCTACCAATTCCTCAAGATTAAGGGACATAATACAAGATAATAACTTATGTTAACTTCTCCCTTTCTTGATATTTCCCTGCTTTATATTCCCAGCACATGTTGTCGAAACCACTAATATTTGTCATCAATTCCTTTGTGTAACCTTGTATTGTTCTGTGATAAAATTATTTAATTTTTTAAGTATTTGTATTTTTTCTCCTCAGAACAGGCTATTTTGTACTGCTTATTATGAATCCATCACTGGTGTCTAGCAAAAGATGAAAACAATGAGTACTGCTAATTAATTTTAAAAAACAGTTTTCTAGATACTATGTTTTTATAGCCTTTTTTTTACTTGAAATATTAAATTTTATTTTATTCTTTTAATTAAAATTTATTGGAGTGACAGTGGTTAGTAAAGAACACACAATGTGATATATAGATGATGTATTATAGAATCGTACACTTGAAACCTATGTAATTTTTATTGCCCTTTTTCTTTAGAAGGGCTTTAAAAAAATTATAGATGTTACCCCAATAATCCTGACAGCACTTCTATGCAGTTCATCAGTATCATTATTATCCTGGAACCTAGTACAGCACAGCACCTGGCTTAGACATTCAATCACTATTTGGATGACTGAATTATCTCATGCTTAAATTTAGGGAAATTAAGATTCATAATCAATACTAAGTCACCAGTTGTTGTTAGAGAAGAGGTGCTAGAAAATTAGAAGAGGAAATGGAGGTGTAATGGGGGCAGAAGAGAAGTAAAGAGATAAAGATGAGGACAAATGCACATACACTCAGACCTTAGAACTGAACTTCTGAATGTCAGGAAGGACAAACCCAAGTCAACACATCCTGACATGTTGTGTATCTGGGTAAAGGCACCATTGTTAAAGCAAAGCCTGATATAACCCAATGTTTTGAGAGGGGACTGTAGTCAACTAATTAGCATATGAAAGAGAGCAGGGTAGTGAGGAGGGTGTGGAATTACTGAGGATGTTCTACCAGCCAAGCTGAGCAACACCCTGGTCCCTCAATGCAGGACACAGGAGTGGGGCTAATAATTCCACCTGCTATTCTCTATCTACCAGGTCACTTCACTATGTCGTTAATTGAGATTAAAGCATAAAGACAAATGATAATTACTTACATGAATGATCGTAGACCATATTAACTGGCAAACAGGTCCAGGAGTACTAATATAACCGATTGGTTTATAATTATTTTCCACCTCAAAGAAGAAGACAGTTTTGTCCTTACTCTAAGAAAATGAGAAATACCCAAATATATATTATTAAGAAATCCATCCCATAGAGTAAAAAAGCATTTAATAACCATAGTTTATCTACTACACACTTACACCTACAATAGTCACATATCCCAGATTATTCTGGTAAAGTTCTTATTTCAAATATTCACTTCACTTTCCCCAATGAGAACACTTGACAAACCATGTGTTCCAGTATGTGATTCTGAAAAAGTGATCACTATACCTGTACATAAAATTAATTCAGAAAAAAAAATTTCACAATGCATATGCTCCTGTATTAATGCACAGAGACTTTACATGGTTATTCTCTTCGTTTATGGCAATTCTATATAAGAATATACCCATGCTATAAAATATCAATTATACATAAAATACCTTACATTATTCCCAGCTGAAATTTTCTACTCATTTAAGATAAGCAATAGAATCCAATTTGTAAGAATATCTTAAAATGTTGTGTGCAGGTTATGCTGAAAGCATGTGAATACAAAGAAAGCAAAATGCAGATACAGTCTCAGAAATGAGTATCAGCAAATAAGGCATCATTAAGTAGGAAGACAAATAAGGCAAGGTTAACAATGAAAATTCAATAGGAAACAAAAAAATATATACTACTCACCCCTGTGGCTAGAATTTCTCCATCACGATCATAAGCTAAAGCAGTGACATGAGCAGTATGGGGTTTGATAACATATTTCAAATGAAGATCTGCATCCAAAAATTTTTTCCGTCCTGCAAAAATTGTAAGTCCTTTTGGATCATAAAGTTCAAGAATTCGAACAACACCATCTTCAAATCCTACAATAATCTGTGCTCCATTGTAGCTTACCTTGGACAAAAATTAAATACAAGAGTTCTGAAATTAGTTGATTAAAACAGTTGTACTACATAACAGATACCTCTGTATTTTATTTAGACTTAAGTAATTTAACTTTGACTGACCAGTGGTAATTCCTTATACCACTTTCTAGTAACCTCCATCTAGTCTAGGACAGATCCTATCACTGCTGACTCTGAGACAGGTAAACAATGGCAATTCAAACACTGGAGCAAATGTGGGTGGAGTGTCTGTCTACCATGTACCAGGCACCTATCACCACCAACCCGAGTGAGGCACCTCCCTCTGTCTCACAGAATTTATATTCTAGTGGAGAAGACAGACATTAATCAATGGCACAAATGAGTAAGGAACTAGGAACTGAAATACACAGTAAAGGAAAACAACATCTTCTCTGAGAGCATGTAACAAAGAAAGCTGGCCTAGGCTGAGGGCTTTCTTAAGGAAGAGATCAGAAGGATGCCAGGAATAAACAAAGGACAGGAAGGTGGGGGCAGCCCTCCTGGGAGAGGATATAGCTTGTACAAAGGTGTGCGGCAGGAAAGAAAGTAACTCAGAAAAAGTTATAGTTTGGCTAGAGCAGACTGAGTGAGGGAACAGTGCTTCCACAAGAGGCTGGAGAGGGAGCTAAGCAGACACCAGGTCACCAAGTGGCTTACATGCCACATTAGGGATAGTCTTCATCCCAAGAGCAACAGGAAGTCATCAAAAGGTTGTTAGTTGGGGGTTGAGGGTGGTGAGGTCACATAATCAGATCTGCTATTTCAGAAAAGTCATCCTTGCTGCCGTGTGGAAAGAAGATCTGAGATGACCTAGATGGGATGCAAGGAGACCTGAGGGGAGGGCTTTAAAGAGATGGCTGCCAGACTCCAGGAGACTGACTGTGGTCACTTGGTCTGAGGTGATGGAAGGGACGTGAGGGATAGAGACATGTTTTAGTAAGAGGTCTAACGGCCCTGTTTGGTAATGACTGGATATGGGAAATGAGGCAGAGGGAGGAGTCAAGTATGACTAAGACATTTACTGAGGCAGGAAACACTGGAAGGGAGCCCGGTGTGCATGTGGTTTGTTGTTGCTATCATTATTTTGGAGGGTGGGGTGGCTGAGAGTGAGCAGAAAATCATGAATTTATTCTTGGACGTGTTGAGTTTGAGGTCCCCTGGAGATCTCAAAATAGAGCTGACATATCGTCTGCAGCTTACAGGACAAGCCTGGGCTGGAGATATAAACCTAGCAATGTCTGAATATACTAAATCTGTTGTCTCAAAAGGCATTCAGGAGAAGGGCGACAGCCCTGGTATTCTTTAGAGCACTGTGATCATCCCTGAGGGCAGGCAATTATGAGAATCTTGGAAATAGGAGAACTGTATTCCATTCAACTCCAGTTGAATGTCTATTAATTCCTTTTTTTTTTTTTAAGCTGAGCCATCCTGCCACCTGTTGGCAGCTCAGCGGCAGCTCAGCTCAGGACGGGAATCAAACCGCTGTTGCTCAGAGCTCGCGCTCTTGAGCGAGCTCTTAACCAACTGAGCCACTTGGCCGGCCCTGAATGTCTATTAATTCAACAAACATTCACTAAGTGTCTGAATGTACCAGTAACTGTAAAGGCACTGGAGGTGCAAAGAAGAATAGTTACGGTTGTTACCATGAAGAATGGACAGTCTGGTAGAAAAGATAAAGCAAATCATCTTAGTATCTTGTGATAATGCTAGAAGAGAGGTATACACACGGTCCTTAAAAAAACAAACAAAAGAGGAAGGCGCACTTAGCTCTATTTGAAGGTGGGGTCACAGAGGACTGTGCAGAAGAGATGTTTGACCTGAGCTGAGTTGTAAAGAATGACATGGAGGTTTCCAGAAGGCAAGGGAGTATGGAGAAGGGGCATTTCTACTGTAGTATAATATCCATATGATCATTACTTTGATATAAGGTTTAAAAAGGAGACAGTCTATGAATATCACACAACCATCTGAATAAATGATTCAATTACTTGGGCTGTATTTTAAAGACTCCAGGTAAGAGTGTAAACAGATTAGGATAAAGAGTGAGCCAGGTTTGGTAATACAAATACTCTGGTTTCTATTTGTTCTAGCCTAGTCATTGCTCTGCCTCTATTCCCTAGCCTGTGTTCTTCTTGTTTTGATCCCATTATGAAATTCCCCTCCATTCCAGCCATCCTCACATCTATTTTGAGCCTGAAACATTTTCTCTTTGATTTAAACCCAAAACAATAAGGATAAAACATTTCCAAACTACTCCCATGACATTTTAAAAACATGGCTGCAAATTCTTTGACATGCCTCCCATGGAGAGATGGGGTTTAAGTTTCTCCTCCCTTGAATCTGGGTGGGGTTTGAGACTGCTTCACCCAATGGAGTATGGTAGAAGGGACACTAGGTGACTCCCTAGGTTGGGAAGACCAACAAGATCTTTGTTGCAACACTAGGTCTTGGAGCCCCGAACTGCTGTGTGAGACATGTGTGACTGCCCTGAGGCCACGATGCTGTAATGAAGCCCAAGCCACATGGAGGAGCTATTAGGTAAGCACTCCTGCTAACTTCCCAGCTTAGCCCAGCCTTCAACCCAGGTATCAGACTTGTGACACAGAAGCCTTTAGGTGATCCAGGCCCCAAAATTCCAGGTCTTCCCAGCTGAGGCCACAGACACTAGGAAACAGAGATAACCCATCCCTGCTGTCACCTATCTACACATAAATTCTCAATCCACAAAATATGTGAGCAAAATAAAATGATCACTGTTTTATGCCACTATATTTTGGGATAGCTTATTACAGAGCAATGGATAACTAGAACAACTCTATCTCTGACTAATTTTTTCCCACAGCTATTATCTAACATATCACATATTTTAGTTATTTAGCTTTTTTACTGTTTGTCTCTGCCTCCTGTCGCCAACCAGAGTGTTAAGACGCATGAGGGCAAGTATTTTTGTCTTTTTGCTCACTAGTGTATTCCCAGAATAAAGAACACAGCCCAGCACCTTGCGGCCATGCTGGAAATAGAAACAAAATGAATGAAATCAAAGTCAGAAGGATAGAGGATACACCAAGTCTTGTTGGGTAATTATGCTGTAACATGGAATTACTACTAATCTGCAGGGAGCACAAAAATAGATTTTCATTAAAACAGGACCAAAACCACAACAATAGCAAGGTCATGACATGATTTCTATTATGTTCTAAGTGAATAAACTAACTTAAAATTTTTATTCTTCTCTAAAATCGAGTCAGAAAATGTCTATATATCCAAGAAATAGCACTGATATATTTACTAGCAGAATCTGCTAGAAATTCATTATAATAAACTTACCAGCCGAGGCACCCAAGTAAGGGCAGTACCTCCTTGCTTGAATTTCACATGAGCCAAAGGAGTTCTGCTAGCAAAATCATAGATTCGAATAGAGCCTACAGAAAGACAGTTTTAAAAAGAAACAAATGTACACATAATTCCTTTTTAAATAACCTTGGCTCCCTTTACATGTTAAGAATTACAAGAAATAAATAACTAAATCAACTGATCACCCAATAACCTTCCTTTAGTGAAAAATTTCTATGTCTCCCGTCAACCAGGTAATTTATAAACATGAATAGTAAAGAAGACAACTGATGATTGACTGATGGATCAATGTCACCTCACATGGTCCACACAGATTCGCCATAAGTCAAGAAGAAAGGAGAGGGAAAGAAAAGGCAAAACACAACTGTGGATAACACCAACATGAATAGCATTTCCATGAGTGACTTACTGATTGCCTCCTTATTTTAATCTCACAATAACCATGGCTGCTGCGTTTTGTGCTGTCTCCCCTCCACAAAAACTCACCTCACTTGCATTAAGAGGTTTCCTTTTAGAAAAATTCTCAAATGCTTTTAATCAAACACATATAAAAAATTGTACTGAAAACAAAACAAAAGCCAGACATATTTTCCTTAAGAGTTCCTACTTACAGTCCAAGGCAGTAGTAGCCATGAGATAAGTGACAGGAGACACGGCCAATGCTTCGATGGCTCCTGAGTGGAAGGAGAAGAGGCATTCGGGGTCGTGGGTCTGATAAGAAGACAGAAATTCTATTAGCTCTCAAAGATATGTTAATTTAGAATTAAGGTCAAGTTTAAAGAAATGCAAATAGAACCCTGTAACATATGTGTGATTTTATCTGAATAAAAATAAGACAAAGCACAATGGGTTAGAAAGAATGCTGCACTTTCGGATTAGGAGAAAGTACTATTTGCAGTAGATGGCTGTGTCATTTTGCACAAGCCACTTAGCATGCCAGTCTTCATTTCTTCATCAGTAAAATGGATGGCAACTGCCTGCCTACTAAACAGGGTAGTGGTGAGGATTCCATGATAACATAAATGGCTTTTGTTTATGAAAACTGTAAAGCAGTATATAATGTTAGCCATTGTTATTGCCACTTTTCTGGTAAGTTTCGCTATGAGATGGACCTGTTTTAAACGTAAAATTATATGTTGAGCCAGTGTTTGGTGGGAATAATGATCAGATATGGAGAAAGATAAAGTATCTTTTAAGAAAGAATAACAAACGTTTTTATTATGAAAAATTAGGAAAAAAATAAGAAAACTAGGCCACTTACGATATTTGAAAAGCTAAGGTCAAGCTTCCATATGGCTCCACTGGCATCCTAAAAAATTAAATACCTAATAATTTTCTGTTTTATCATTTTGAACTTTTATCAAATTAAAATAATTTTCTTCTTATGATTTAAAGTAAGGACAAACAGTAATACCAAAAGCTTTCATATATTTTAAAGAGTGATTGAAATTTAATAAAATTAACCTCTACATATCTTAGAACACAACCACACAATAAATGAAGCAATTTCGTTGTATGTATAGTCAAACATAATAAAAATGCTTCTAGTAGGTTTTCTGAGTATAAAATGTAGTCATTTAAATACCAATACTCAGGATCTCTTCATTCAGGTATCAATAGTAGTCTTAATAGTAAAATGGATTTACAGTGACAATAATTTATACCAATTTAATTTTATGTCCAGGTAAGTTTAAAAGAGTCAAGAGAGAAGAATGCAACTTACCTGAGCCAACCAAACGTTATTTCCAGCTTCATTCATTTTTATCATAGAGAAGAGTTGGACATTCTTGTCTACTTGAAGTTCATTAATGGGCTCGATCTCTAGCAATCCAGTCTCATCTACAGTATCAGCAGTGTCTATGGCCTCAAAATCCCATATCTTATAAAATTAATTTAAAAAAATACCTTAATCAGACAGCGGTTTCTGAATTTATATTTCCTAAGCCAGAAAAGAAATACAAAGACATTCCTTTGTATTTACAGGGATTTCTGAGAAAATACAGCTCTGAATGAGAATTCTAATTTACTCAAAATACTCTGTATTTCAAGGTTTCTGACAGGTCTTTTGGCACATAAGAAGCAAACGGTTCGCTTGTTCAGCAAGACATCATCACGACTCCTGTTTTATATACACAGTAGGCCCCTGGAAAGGGGAAATAGATGTTCTTGCTTAATAATTCAAGCACTATCTTCATTATAAGCAGAGAAAATGAATGTAGATGATGTCTTCATTAAAAAATGTTTCTCTTCCTTACAGGTTTAAACTGTACTGCTCAGATAAGGATTGTTGTTCTTGGGATAGACCAGAATGCTACAGGAAGGGTGACAGAGCAAAGTTTCACCTCATGTGGCAAAGAGGACGTGCTCTGTGAAGTGCCAAAGCCCACTCTCGGTGGTTCTGTTGACACACACTGCCACATTATCCTAGACTCAGTAACTCAGACTCCGGGAAAGTAACTTCACGGAGGATCGGTGTTGTCCCACAGATTAGCCTCACTGGGGAGGGGTCCAACTCCTAGGGCCAGGCTAACCTGGGAGCTGGGGTAAATTTTCCTAAAGGGTGAGAGGTAGAGATTTACAATGTAGAGGACTGAAGAGATAAGAGTGGACTTTGCAAAGAAAAGCGAGCTTAGAATTTAGCAGTGTCCATGAAGAGATCCTCTGTGAAATATTTAACTTTTCTCTTGAGGATTTCTTCCACTCAGTATTTTGACATTTTGGGGTGACATATCTTGGAAGGATAGTGAATATATTGTATGACATAATAAGGAATATAAAACATTCTCATTGTAATGAATAAACTCTAACAAGATTAAATTTAATATGGTAAATGTAAACATTTTATACTTGGGTTCAAAAAGCCAATGGTAAGAGGACAGACTATGGGAGGCATGGCCTATACAATATAGTAGACATAGTAAGCTCAGTAAGTGTCAACAGAGTGGCCAGAATATTAAAAATGTGTGTGTGTGTATAGATATATATAGATATATATATATAGATATATATTATATATATATATATATATATATATATATATATATGCAGTGTTACTTCTGATAATACTTCCTAAAGAATGTCCAGAGAAAGAACACTTTCTTATGACAGGCCCCAGAAGGAATATGTACCAATATATACCACAAGACAAATCAGTGGGCTCCAGGTTGGCCAGCAATGGCAGGGTACACATAGAGAGGTGTGACCATAACCAGGGGGACTTAGATGCTGGAGGAATAGATGCTATAGGCAGGAGAGTGTCCATATGTGAAAACAAGTGAGTTCACCAGTGTAAGGAACCATGAGAAGGGTGAATCCATAGGCAAACCCTCTCAGGTCACCTTTGAGTATATTTCTGATTGGTAACCTCAGTTAAAAATAACATATGTTTGGCACTTTTGACCATATAAAATGACCCATTCATCCATCCCAGGCATTTTGAAAGGACATCTGTGTCCACTCTTTATATTTTGCTAACATGGGCTTTCATTGTCTGAAGCTACTCTTTCAACAACAGAATTAAAATAACAAAAGATCCCTTCAGAAAATTTCAGTGCTAAGAAGCTGTAAATTAATGTTTATCACATTTCAAATATTTACCACAAGAGAAGCATTACTTAAAATGATTTGGGGGCCGGCCGAGTGGCGCGATGGTTAAGAACTGGCTTGGGACGCCAGAGGGCCCCGGTTTGGATCCCACATATGAGGGCCAGTGACACTGCCCTCTTCAGCTAAGATGCTGAACAACAGCTCAACCTGGAGCTGGGCTGCTGTGAGTCGCTGGCGACAGCATAGGCTGCAGTCCCTGTGGCAGTGGGTTGCCATGGGCTACCGTATGTAGCCAGCAGCCAGCGTGAGTGGCCAGCAGCCAGCGTGAGCGGCCAGCAGCCGCAGTGAGCGGCCGTCCAGAAGCCGGCGACTGATCTGCCTCGCCCAGGAAGAGCGCAATGATGGTGCCAACTTGGGCCAGTGAAGCAACGTCCTCCACAACTAGACTGAAGAACAAAACGACAGCAATTTGTCTGTTCCCCTTCCCCCAATCCCCCAGCACTGTTCCCCCCAATGCCCCAATAAAAATCTAAAAAAAAAAAAAAATGATTTGGCCCTAGGAGTAAATGACCACTGAGCTTCATAAAGTGACTTTTGTGAGAAATCAAAATCTGATAGAACCAATTGGGTGGTCTGCATTGTTTAGCTGTGGGTGCTACTGTCCAAGTATCAAGAAAACTTACCCGAATATATCCATCTGACCCAATAGTGATAACTTCACCCTCATCCAGCATGATCTGGTTGATGGGACCCTGGTGACAACACTTACTTGAAGCTCGACAGAGCTCAACTTTGATGAAGCCAGCTTCCCAAAGCAGCATGTTGCCCCATTCTGACCCTGAGAGCACCTGGCCGGTGTGCAGAAAGAAAGGAATGTGCATTAGAACAGACAATTGTGTATATTTATGCCTCAAATAGCAGGTAAGAATTATTTTTTAAAGATTATTTTCTTGATTAAGGAAGTAAAATATTTTAAATATAGAAAAATAAGAAAATATAGAAATGAAAACTCACAGCCACAGAAATAACCACTAATCACATTTTGATGTATTTCTTCCTTATGTTATATATTGTATCCATTACTGTGATTAAGCTGTATGCTGCTGGTTATTTTTCAAACATATCTATTATATCTGTCTTTGTAAATCTCTTAAGGACATAATCCAGGAGTGGAATTACTGGGTCGAAATTTAGAAACATGTTTAAAGTTCTTGATAGATGAGATGCTACTTTTTAAGTGTGATAATATCAACTATTATAAAATATCTAATAAGTTGTGAGGCCATTACTGAACTCAGAAGATTATAGCATAACAGTATCCAATTTCAAACAAGGATAATCATCTGGAAACACCTCATACTAATCCATTTAATCCAGCACTTCCCAAAGTACATACTACCAAACACCAGTTCTTAGGATGTTTAACAGTGTTAACTGATAAATAATACTAATGTAGTATGGACTCTGTGCCAAGCACTGCTTGAGCATTTTACATACATTAATTCATTTAATTCTAAATGAACTGGTACATTTATTGGGGATACCATGTACAGTTGTGCAGGTTGGGCACTTTATTTTCCCAGAAGAGTTTTTCTCTTTGCACAAAGGAACCATGTAGGCCAGTAGAAGCCCTATCATTATCCCCATTTTACAAAGGGAAAAACTGAAGCACAGCACAGTTACGTACTCAGAGGAGTCAGGATTCTAAACCAGGCCCTGTGGCTCAAAAGCTGCTGTTCTGACTACCATTACCTCAGAGGACAGGTGGGAGGACAGACAAAGTCAAACAGATTTCTTTTTTCTAGGACTCATGGATCCTTTAACACAACATATTCACTGGGAATCGTCAAGAAGAATTTCTACATATGAAGGAATTTGACCAGGAATGCCTTGTTTTCATAGCGCTTCCGTGCAGACCAATGTCCTATGAAATGCCCTTTGGGAGACGCTCACTGACCTAATTCTTGTGAACCTGCTCTAGGATCCTGCATTCCCACTTCCCTCTCATCTAGAGTAACTCATGACCTTATTCAGTCTTGTCTACCTCTTCATCTACCTCACCTTATCTATTCTGCCTATTTTAACAGTTATTAAGTTTCAGCCCACTTGTTGTAGAGTCTTTACTTAGACTTGGTTTCTTCTGTCCAGTGACTAACGCCACCAAAAGTCACCAAAGTCTATAAAGCATTCCTTTCTGAAATGTCACTCATATCTGGCTTTCTTTTTCCATTTGTCTTGAGGAACGTCGAGGCCCTCATCAACGCTTCTTTGAGGAAAGCAACATCTTTCTTCCTAGCTCATCTCCTTGACTCCAGCTTTCCCTTCTTCTAATTTGCTTGGCATTTTGTGGTCAAATTTATCTATAACTTCTTTCATTTGCAACTCTACTCTTCCAATATATAGTAGCTCTGCCTGGCTGTTAAACTCTTTGTACCCTAGGACCAAACCATACTTCTCACTCTAATTTCCCACTCTTTCCCAGCATGGATGCTGTATTCCAATTAGCCCTCTAAATAACTGATATTTATTCCTAATGCTAAACATTTCCTTTTATGGCTCTTATTTAAAAAGGCTTCTTTTCTCCCCTACATCTACACAAACCCTACCGAACCTTTTTAAGATATATCTCATACCATGTTTTTAACAAGGGCTGTATTGATCTTTATTTTAGCTTAATTCTTACAGTATTCAGAATTTGAAGACGGAATGATTTACAATCATCTTATAAGTTTGGATATACTATAGTTTAGCCAGCATCCAATTCTTTTTATTTCCTCCTGTACAGCACGATTTCAAATTGAGAATACCCCACGAGGTAGAGGGATTAGACCATTTGGTTCCTAAAGTAATATTTGTATGCTGGCATTTACTTATAATTGAGATGATCACAAATAATTCTATAGAACTCATCCTAATAGGAAGCCAAGTACAATATTAATGGAGAACTGTTTCTATAGGCAATATGCCTATACATTTTGTAAGAGGAAGAGTGAAAGTAAACTAACAATATTAAAGAATAAACTAACAGATTATAGTTGCAGGTTGCAGATGTTATTGTAAAGTGGCTCAATCTTGCTGAATAATAATCTGACAATAAAAACAAAAGCTACAAGGTACTATATAACCTTTGACCCAGTAAGTCTTCTTGAAGCATCATGGCAAAGAAAAAAGAGGGGAAAGATAAACATTATAAACACTGCAACTCTATGACATAATTAAAAGTGACAAGTATGTCACTATGTTAATATTTTAAAAAATGCTTGCATATTATATATATTTATAATATTTAGTGAAACTAAAATTGAAAATGATATGTACATGTGTGTCATGACAATTTCATGGAAATATATTAACTAAAATTAATAACCTGAAGAGGCAAAATTAAATTTTCATTATATTCACAATTATAGTACCTATTATTGCTAAGATTAGCAGTGCTTTTTAGAATGTATAATGTGCTTTCATATGTGTATGTCACTTGAAAACATAATTTGATTATTGTAGAACAGTGGCTGTACTCACCTTCCCATCCGGGAGCTCCATGTAACCTTCTATATCAGTAGTGGCTGTTTTGCCAAATCGACCTAGTGAACCCTGAAGCTTGAGACCAGTGAATGTTAGAGCCATTTCCCAGAATCTGCAAACAGAGAAAAGAGTGAATGTACCTCAAGGACTTTTAAAAATTCTAATATACCCCCAAGCATTTACATATTTCATAGTTACATATATTATTTCATTTATTAATTAATCTGATTAATATGTATTAAGTATGTACTACCTGTCAGGCAAAGTTCTAGGTAATGTGAATTCAGCATTGAGCAAAATAGACGCCCCCCCCCAAAAAAAAATCTTTGCCTTTATAGAGCTTATATTTTTGAGCTGTGCTGTCCTATCCAGTAGCCATTAGCCAAGTTAGATGATTTTAATTTAGATATAAGGTAATTAAATAAAATTTAAAATCAGTGTTTCAGTCAGACCGGCCAGTTTCAGGTGTTAAGTAGCTACATGTGGATTGGCCAACAGAGAACATTTCTATACCAGCAAAAGGTCCTATTGTATAATGATGTTTTAGAGGATGTAAAAGTTTTCCCCAAAATTCCAGTTTACTTGCTGTGTAACTTTAAGTGATTATCTTGATCACACTGTGCCTTCATTTTCCCATATACAAAATGGAAATATTATTAGCACCTGCCTCATAAAATTGTTGAAAAACTTAGAACAGTGCCTAGCACATAAAAAGCAATCAATCAGTGTTAGCTATTACTACCATTTTCTTATTAATAGTCTAAATGAATGTACAATCAGAGTGATGAAAACCATGTAGGAAAAGAATCTGGCCTACCAAATGTCTATAAAATAGATAATAGAAGATGCCAACAAGTCAATAATATGAAGTCAAAAGCCTGAATGACCAACATTCTTCTCCGAGGCTATGGTAGGTCCCCGATCATTTGTTTCCATATACTCTGTTTCTGAAATTATAGTACTTCACACATGAAATTGTTCAATGTCTATCTTTCCCCAAAGATATAGTGCACAGAAAATATGCACTTTACTAAATGATGGGAAAACGTAAGAAAATGGAAAATTTTAACCTACTGCTAACAAAGCATTACTGAAGAATTTCCCCAAGACTACATATAAAAATCTGTTCAATTATGCTATATTACCAATGAATCAGTCAGAAGACCAGTTTTCATTGGAATAAGAGGAATTTAGGATAGATTAAAAACATCTTTCATAAATAGACACTGGAATCAAGTTATGGGCTGCTTGAGGGTGGTGGTAGAAGACTGTTAAATAAATACATGAGACAGAGTGTAACAAAAATAGAGGACAAAATCATTCCATCCTGGACATAGACCAGAATAGGATATAGTAAAAAAGATGTGGAATTTAGACCCAAAGTCCTAAGATCAAGCGTTGGGTCAGCTACCATTTAGAACTAAGGGGCCTGTGTCAGGAATGATTTTGTTGTAATTCTTGTTTTACAGATGAAGACTGAGTTCAGAGATGTCAAAGTGATTTATCCATCATAAAATGTTGCTACAAACAACAAAATAGTGAATCTGAAAGCTCAATATGAATTTGGAAACAGCATGCCAATGCTAGGAAGACATTCAACAAACTCTTTTAGGATGCAAAGCTTAAAGACGGCAGTAGGCTAAATTTAAAAGCCCTTCTTTTATAAGTGCTGTCTGCGGTATGGTAATACATCCCCATATTGAATGAAAAAGCTACACTACCAGTTAGCTTTAAAAAGAACACATTTTTAAAAGTGTCCTAATGTTAATAACATCAGCAAAAATGTGTCCAGCTGGTTGATCCTCTTAGATGATACCCTTACAATAACCTACTAGCCCCTGTGTCAATCACACAACCTACTTGATGTGGCCCAATCCTGAAGTAGTAAGCTGCTCCTCATTGTCAGGATTGAAAGTGACCTTAAAAACGTCCTGGGAGAAAGCTTTTGTCCTAAGTATGGGCTGTTCTTCTTTCCAATTCCAGATGGTCATTGTGTGATCCGGGTTGTCACCAACAGAGGCCAGCAACGTACCGCTGTTGTTAAAGTCCACGTAAGCATAAGCCAGGTCAGTCCCATCTGAAAGGATGAAGGTGAGTCTAGTGAACAGGGGCAACATTTATTTTATTTCCAACAGTGTATTATTAAAAATAACAAACAACGAGAGAGAGAGAGAGAGAGAGAGAGAGAGAGAGAGAGAGAGAGAGAGAGAGAGAGAGAATGTGCCCCCTCGATGATGTATATTGATGGAAGAATACCAAGAATCCATTAAAGAAGTAATTCTAAAATCATTCATCACCCTTGGATTTAGAAAAAAATCACATGATATGCGTTGCAAGGGTGAATAAATCTTAATCACATTTTACATGAGAAAACCACTTTGAAAACATATTCCATTTTATATAATGGGGGAAGGGGACACAAAAGCATGTTAGCAGAAAGAAATCAATCTAGGATTTCTGGTCAAGATGGCACAGTAGGTAAACGCTGGGCTTACCTTCTCTCTCACAATCACATCAAAATTACAACTAAACCACACAACAACCATTATTGAGAATCGCCTAAAATCTTGTTGAACCAAAGCCCTACAACTAAGGACATGCAGAAGCAGCCACCTCAAGACTGGGAGGAGGGACAGAGATGCAGAACAGGCTAGTCCCACACCTGCCGGTGACCATTAAAAACTCGCAGGGTTATCTTGGCAGCAGAGGAGCAAGGGGTCCCAGCCCCTCCCCAGCCCAGGGTTCTAGTGCCAGGGAGAACAGTCCCCGTAATTTCTGGCTGTGAGAACCAGCAGAGATTGTGGCTGAGTGAGACAGAGGGTGGTTGGAGTCCCAGGAATTCCTCTTAAAGGGACTGAGCACAGACCTACCCACTGAAAGAATCACTGGCTCTGAGCTCCAGCACTGGGGCAGCAGCTGGAGAGGTGGCAAGGACATACAGGGTGGGGAACAGAGTTGTCTGGATTTAGTATGGGAGCTGAAGGAACAGCTTTGTCCTGGATGGAGGAACTTGCAGAGGCCATCATTTCTTTGTTGAGCCCTCCCCCTTCCTGGTGTGCAGACGCAGGTGGCCATCATGTGACTCTCTATCAAGCTGGCTGTGACCCTGGTGATTTCAGACCCCACCCTGCCCAAATTTCAGACACACCCAAGCCACTTCCAGTGGCTTTTTCATACAAACTGCCTGCCTTAGCTCATGCTGTATACTTTCCTAGGGTCTCTCAAAGGTTCATGGAACCCAGGCATGAAGCATCTGGCATAAGCCTGGCACTAGTGGCAGCTGGCCTTGGTTCATGGCTTGGCCTCTCAAGGCACTTCCAAGCACAGCACAGGTGGTGGCCATCTGGGGATTTCTTTGTAGTTCCTGCCAGGTGGCCATGGGTGGGGCAAGGGCTGCAGCTGAACTTGACCTGCAGTGAGTCCCCTGCCAGGTGGCCCAGGGGCCAGCTTCAAAATGAGCTGGAGCATTACCCAGCCACCTCCAAGGACAACACACCCAAGGGGCATATTGGGCCGGCACCAGAGCCCTGCTGAAGCAGATCCTGCTCTGTAGGCTCAGCCTCTGCACCACAACTCCTCTACTGTAGTCATGGCCAGTCCTCACAACCAATGAGCCCAAAGGTCGGTCCCTCCCATTGATGTGCAAATAACAACCAAGGCTCAGCTACAAGAGGAGGGTCCACACAACCCACACAAGGGACTCAACTGCAAGGGCTCAAGTGACCAGGAAGATTGCGCCACTGAGCGCTAGGACACCTACAACAAAAAGCCACGCTACTAAGACTGGGAGACACAGCAGCCCTACCTACCTAATACATAGAAACAAACACAGGGAGACAGCCAAAATGGGGAGACAAATGTCCCAAATGAAAGAACAGAACACAGCTCCAGAAAAAGAACTAAACAAAATGGTGACAAAGCAATCTACCAGATGCCGAGTTACAAAAACTGGTTATAAGGATGCTCAATGACTGCAGGGAGAACTTCAACAAAGAGATAGGAAACATAAAAATAGAGATAAAACACATAATTAAGAACTAGTCAGGAGTAAAGAATACAATAACGGAAATAAAGAATACATTACAGGGAATTAACAGTAGATTAGATGGAGCAGGAGATCAAATCAGTGATTTAGAAGATAAGGTAGCAGAAAACACCCAATCAGAACAGCAAAAAGAAAACAGAAACCAAAAATTAAGGAGAGTTTAAGGGGCCTCTGAGACAACCTAAAGCATACCAACATTCTCATTATTGGGGTACCAGAAGGAGAAGAGAGAAAACAAGGAATTAAAAACCTACTTGAAGAAATAATGACAGAAAACTTCACTAATGTGGCCAAGGAAATAGATATACAAGCCCAGTAAACACAGAGAGTCCCAAACAAGATGAACCTAAATAGGCCAGCACCAAGACACATCATAATTAAAATGTCAAAGATTAAAGACAAAGAAAATCTTAAAAGCAGCAAGAGATAGTCCCATAAGGCTATCAGCTGATTTCTCAACAGAAATTTTGCAGGCCAGAGGGACTGGCACAAAATATTCAACGTGATGAAAAGCAAGAACGTACAACCAAAATTACTCTACCCAGGGCCGGCTGAGTGGCGCATTGGTTAAGAGCTGGCTTGGGAGGTCAGAGGGCCCCAGTTTGGATCCCACATATGAGGGCTAGTGACACTGCCCTCTACAGCTAAGATGCTGAACAACAGCTCAACCTGGATCTAGGCTGCCGTGAGTCGCCAGCGACGGTATAGGCTGCAGTGGGTTGCCATGGGATACTGTGTGTAGCCAGCAGCCAGCGTGAGTGGCCATCCAGAAGCCGGCGACTGATCTGCCTCACCTGGGAAGAGCACAATGATGGTGTCAACTTGGGCCAGTGAAGCAACGTCCTCTACAACTAGACTGAAGAACAAAAGGACAGCAACTTGTCTGTTTCCCTTCTCCCAATTCCCCAGTGCTGTTCCCATTCCCCAATTTCCCAATTAAAAAAAAAAAATTACTCTACCCAGCAAAGCTATCATTTAGAATCAAAGGACAGATAAAGAGCTTCCCAGATAAGAAAAAGCTAAAGGAGTTCATCACCACCAAACCAGTATTACAAGAAATCTTAGAGGGACTTCTTTAAGACTGAAGGAAAAAAAAAAGAAAGAAAAAGAAAAAAGAAAATCAAAATATGAATAATAAAATGGCAATAACTACATATCTATCAACAACTACTTTCAATGAAAATGGATTAAATACTCCAATCAAAAGACAAGGGGGCTAAATGGATAAGAGAACAAGACCCTTGCATGCATATGCTGCCTACAAAAGATTCACTTTAGATGGAAAGACACACGGACTGAAAATAAAGGAATGGAAAAGGTATTTCATGAAAAGGGAAAACAAATGAAAAAAGTTGGGGTTGTAATACTTTTACCAGACAAAATAGACTTTAAAATAAAGACTACAACAAGACAAAAAGAAGGACCTAGTAATCCACTTCTGGGTATTTATCTGAAGAAACCCAAAACACTACTTTGAGGGGACATGCTTATCTATATGCTCATTGCAGCATTATTTTCATAAGCCAAGATATGAAGGCAACTTGGGTGTCCCTGAATGGATGAATGGATAAAGAAGAGGTGGTACATATATACAATGGACTATTACTCAGCCGTAAAAAAAAGAATGAAATTTTGCCATCTGCACTTATACGTGGAATCTAAAGAACAAAATATATAAACAAAATAGAAACAAACTCAGATACAGAGAACATTTTGATGGTTGCCTGATGGGAAGGGGGTTGAAGGTAGGTGAAAAGGGGAAGGGATTAAGGGGAAGAGATTAAAAAGTATTCATACAAACTGGTTGTTACAAAGTAGTCATGGGGATGTAACTTAAGGAATATAGTTAATAATAATAATGTAATAACTATGTGTAGTGTCAAATGGGTGCTAGATCTATCAGGGTGATAGAATGGGAGGGAGTCAGGGGCTGGGTGAAAAAGGTGAAGGGATTAAGAAATACAAATTAGTAGTTACAAAACAGTCATGGGGATGTCAAGTATAGGGAATATAATCAATAATACAGTAATAAATATGCATAGTGCCAGGTGGGAACTAGTCAGGGGGATCACTTCCTAAATTATACAAATGTCTAACCACAATGCTCTACACCTGAAACTGATATAAAATAATATTGAATGTCAACTTTAATTGAAAATTTTAAAAACGGGGGGGATAAAGAAGAATAAGAGGTTCAAAGTTCTAGATACAAAACAAATAAGTTTTGGGGGGTGTAATATACAGCATAGGAAATATAGTCAATAACATTGTGATAGCATGGTACAGTGCTGGGCTTATCATGGTGATCACTTCTTTAGCATAGGATGTAATCAATAATGTGGTAATAACTCTGTATAGTGCCAGGTGAGTACTGTTGAATAACTATGAACACCTGAAACTAATATAATATTGTATGTTAGCTATATTTTAATAAAAATCTTTAAATAAAAGAAAAAAGAGAAATCTATCTCTAATTTAAAATTTGCCCCTGGGGGGGAGAGAATCACAAAATAGCAAAGGGTGACTTCAGGTTTCCGGTTATACATGTAAGGAGCTTGGAAGTCATGACTCCATCCTATCAAGTAAAAAAAGCTGAGCAAACTGAAAAATTAACAACTCTTCTTGTATCTATAAGATAGGGAAGGACACGGGCGAACGGATACCTCCAAGGCTGGGGCGAACTACTGGCGAATATAGGGATTTGCAATTTTCCAGAGCAGAGATTCGGAGAGATCCAGGTGAAGCAGCAGAGGGAAACAGTGCCGAGTGGTAAAACTTGAACTGTAACTGAATTGCTGGAGGCTCAGTATGGACAAGTCTGAGAATTAACATCTCCAGGGGGACCCTGTCATAAAGTGGACCCAACAACATTGTGAGATTTACCTCCAGGAGTTTGACCAGGGTCCCACCATAAGTATCTAGAAAAGTACCCTTGGGCTTCCGTCAGTGGGAAGGGAACAGGAAATGCCCCAGCGCACCCTGTTCTTCCTAATAAAGCCTGCCCTCAGGTGAAATGAATTAACCAGCGCCTA